AATATTTATTTTTATTAACAATTTTTATATTTTAAAATAATAAAAAATTATAAAAATCAAAACTTAAAATATAACCTGGCCCTTGAGGCCTAGTGGCATTAGCCACCGGTGCATTACCCCCGCGTAAGGTTCGAAACCCGCCCTCGCAAAATATGTTCAAAAAAAAAATATGAAGAAATGTTTTCAATCTAAATCTAAATTTGGGACTGGCCAAGAAATAGTACACATAGCTCTAACTTTTGAAAGTTTACTAATCAAGGATTTAAACTTTTTTTTTAATTCCTAATCAAGGTTATTATCTTTCCAGTTTTTTTTACGTAAGGACTCAAATTGCTCATTTTTACCATATAAGGCTTTGTTTTCGATGGTATACCGACATAGACTTCTTAATTCTATTAAATTGGCTCACATTAGATGTTACTTGTCAACAAAATTACTTTGTTGTTGATGATACAGACAAGATTAATATTTTAAGAGAAACAATTAATGTATTTAACTATATTACTTTTACTAAAAAGATAAAAGAAGGAGAAAATTTTGATGATAAGATGACTAATTAAAAATTAAGAGATAATAATACGTCCAATTAAAAAATTATTTTTTTCTTAAAAAAAATAACAATTAATCTAAAATATATAAATTTCAAGTCAAAAAATAACATTTTTTTTTCAACGAAAAAGGTGAAACATAACTTCCACCACCAAACAACACTTTATGCTCCTTTTAACATGTCTGTCTAACGTAGACTTTGAGTTGAATTAATGAAAATGCACCAAAGTTACAAACACCGAAAACAGGACTCGTCTGGCGTTTACAAGTTCCATTTCACCCACTGCCATATTTAACTGGCTATTCAAGAATAAAAAACAAAATCAAGCAAGCCGAAATTGGGTGAAAATGGTGATCGTTAAAGAGTAGAAATTAGTTCCAGTTAGCTACTTAGAATATTCAACTACATAAGAGTAGAAGATTGAAATAACAGTTAAGGTATATGTCATGCATTCCTGAACAACATTCAGAAACTTACGTGGTACAAGGTGTGTAGTTTTCGAGTAAAACCTTTATCGTGCCTCTAACACGGAGAGGCTAAGTTCATTGGTTGAAGATGATTCCAGTTTAATGGATGAAGAAATTGTCTCAAGTGATTTCTTGTCAAAGAGAAAACCTGGTCTTTTGGGTTGTTCCAAGGTTATCTCACTGCCCAGCATCAAAACCACAGATGACATACTTGGCCTGTCTGTAGGGTGTTGTTGAACACATAAGAGACTAATGTGGATGCACCTTAATACTTCAGATAGATTGCAAGACTCTTTTATAAGTGAGTCAATCAGCTCAGAAGGATGTCCTCCTTTCCACAATCGCCATGCCTAAATACAAATTATACACGATTGGTCATTTTTCAGTTCATGAATGGAAAGAAGGTATGTCTTGAACCTTGATACTTACATGTTCAATAAGGTTAAGGCTATCGTTGACATGGTTAAACCCTCTATTCTTCTTCCCACTTATCATCTCCAGTAACAGTACACCAAAGCTAAACACATCAGATTTTATAGAGAATTGCCCATAAATGGCATATTCTGGTGCCATATAACCACTGCAAAAAACAATTAAGAAAAATTATATCAACTCGCATTTTTGTTGTAAACTAGGAAGTATAAAGATAGTTTACTTACTAGGTTCCAACCACTCTCTTTGTGTTCCCCTCAGACTGTTCTCCAAATGTTCTAGCCATGCCAAAGTCCGAAATTTTGGGGTTCATTTCACCATCAAGCAAAACATTGCTTGCTTTGAGATCTCTATGTATGATCCTCAATCGAGAATCTTGATGTAGATAGACAAGCCCTCTAGCGATTCCACAAATAATGTGAAAACGCCTTGACCATTCTAATAATTTCCTTCTTGTATCATCTGTTGTGAAACATGATCTTTGTATCAATGTGGCATTAAACTTGAGTTTTTGAAACAGACAGTTGCATTGAAATATGCAAACAATTTGCGTTGAATTTATACTACTTCATAGTTAATTGAATAGGTTTCAAATGAATACGAACCAAAAATGAAGAAGTCCAAACTTTTATTCGGCATATATTCGTAAATCAACAGTTTCTCCTCTCCATGAATGCAGCATCCTTGAAGCTTTACAAGATTCCGATGTTGAAGTTTAGCTATAAGTGCTACTTCATTCTTGAACTCAACTAATCCTTGTCCAGAGTTTCTTGAGAGCCTCTTCACAGCAATTTCTTTTCCATCTGGCAGAGTACCCTGGAAAAACATACTTGTAAAGTTCATTTGATCTTAACAAAGACATCTTACACTAATACTCATTTTTATAAGAATACTGAGCATTTACCTTGTATACAGGCCCAAAGCCACCTTCTCCTAGCTTGTTGTGGGAAGAGAAGTCATTGGTAGCTTTGGATATTATAGCTAACTCAAATAATGGGAGTTCCATATCTTCATTTTGCCTTTCGTTGCCCCAGCCATTTTCTCTTCCTGAAAGGGTGAAGAATTAATCAAAACCAAACGATGAGAAACGAACATGATTTGTGAAGGCAAAGAAACGTACCTTCCATGTTTCGATGCCTCCTGCTAATGTAATAGGTGATTACAACACTAATAACTCCAAGAATGGCAGCTGCAATTATTATTGCTACCTTCATTTTAGTGTTGCCTTTTGTCTCTTCATGGTCTAATTCCATAAAATGAAGAAATATATGAATTAGAGTCACGGCAATGAAGTAGTTTCACATATTAACTGAAAATAAAATTGGTAACACCCAACATAAATAGGAATCATAACTTAATGAAACACTGAAATGCTAGGCTGAACTAAGAGTAACCCAATACCTGAATCAACAGCAGACATTCGAATATATAAATCCTGTCCAACAAACTGGACCTGTTTAAGATCAAATAGATCACCATACCAGATTGCACATCCACTAGCTTTTTTAATATCCAAGGTTGTATAGGCCATACAAGAACAATTCTCTAAGCATTTAGCCCTGCACTGATTGAGATCCATGCTTTCATTCACCCAAGAATGTTCAGTATCTGGTAGTTTCAACCCACTAAGTTTGATAAACCCATCTCCTTTCTGGCAGTCTAATGGGTTATTGCGCACACACCCCTGATACCAGTCCACTGAGTTCCCTTCCTGTGATTTAAACCTGAAACCCTTCAAACATTGACAAGGTGGCAGCATTGTACCAACACAGGTTCCATATACCCCACAAATCCCATAGTTGTCACAGTCATCCCTTGGATAATAATTGAACAATATCCAATCCCCAACTTTTTCATTCCACATGGAGCGCTCCAACCTACTGGATGTTTGGTTTAAAACAACCCTTGTGATTAATGATTTTTTACTGATGAAATATGTGGAGGAAGTCTCATCTTCATTTGAGATGATGTTGAACGTTACATACGGAAAGGGATTGATGTTTGATGAACCACTGAATCCATTGCCATTCCAGGGTCCTAACCTGAAATACTTTTTTGAGCCTTTCCACATAACAAAATCAGCAAAATTATATGTTTCTACCCCATAAGTTAAGTCTCCAGGGCATGGATCATCTTGGGACTTCGACGCTGATAGCTGTCGATTAAGACCAGTCGTTGAGTCCCATCCAAATTTCATCCCTGCCAACAAAGTATCAGTAGGATAGTCAAAGCTTTGCCATAAAATACTTTCTAATTTACCAGCAATTCTATCCCATAGAACAAGATTTCCAGAATCCAAGAG